CGCTTACCCCCTCTCCCCCTACCCCCCATAACTCAAATCCTCAATCTCAAATCCCACCCCAATCCCACCTTTACACCTCGTTCCCGCAGCCAGAGGGATGGGAGCTCGGAATTGACCGCCGGTACAGGTTGAGAAGGAGGTTTGATCGGGGTTACAGTGGAGGGTGCCTTCTTTGCATTTTGAGTTTGAGTTTGTGTTTGTGGGGGTTGAAGGAGATGAGGGGGGTGAGGGGGATGAGGGGTGCGTGTTTGGTGATGATTTGGATTTAGTTTCAGGTTTCGCTTGCGTCGAGGTTGCTTTCGACTCATCGTGAATCGCAGGATTCGCAGATTGTTTCGACTCACCCCCCTCACCCTTAGCAAAAGGATTCCCATCACACCTCGCCACACTGCCAAACAAATTCCCCTCTCCCTCGGGGTACTCAACATCCTTCCCGGGATTCGGATACCGAACCGCTTTCCTCTGTTCATGCTCAACCGATGTCTCGCATCCATGTGAAGCCGGTCCCATGTTCGCCATGAAGACCGGTGGGAGGGTTTGTAGGAAGGAGGATGAGGAGGAGGAGGAGTTACCCCCGGAAATGGTTATTGGTGCGCAGTTTTGGTAGAATTCGGGGCTGCCACCTATGCGTTGGATCCTATGCGGGGGTAGTGTTGTTAGATTTTAAGGTTAGGGAGTTGGAGAATAAGCGAGGGAAAGTATGGGATGGAGAGAAGTGTGATGTATGTGATGTATCTGATGTGATAAGCGAGAAGAGAGATGTAAGAGTACGTACCAAGTCCAAGCAAAAGTATACTCCCCATCCCCCACCTCCCTCGGGATCACAAACTCATACTTCCCAGCCTCCTCCCCATCCCGCAAATTCCCTTCTTGATTCCTCGCCGGACATCCCCCCTCCCAACTCTTAATCACCCTAAAATCCGCATTCTCCTTACTCGGTGCAAACCCCGGCAGTAAAGAGATCTGACACGAGCCTCCGCCGTGAACTGCACCGTTCCCTCGCTCAAAAGAGAGGGTTTGCGATGTGCCGGCGACGATGTGGGTGGGTGAGCCGTCGATTTTTAAGGTGCCGACCCCCGAGGGGAGTTTGCAGGGCCAGTCGGGGTTTGTTGGGTCTATTGGGTTGGAGGGGCCGTAGGCGGGGAATTTGAAGGGTTTGGGGGTTTTGAGGACGATGTGTGCGTTTGTGAGGAGGGTGGGGATGAGGAGGATTCGGAGTGGAATGTGCATTTTTGGGTAGATTATTGATTTATGGTTTATGTTGTTGTTTTGGTAAAGAGAGTGGTGCTTGTGGGGGGTGAGGATGGATGTAGGTATTTGAAATTGGGGATGGAGTGTTGGTTGCTTTGTTGTGATTGTTTGTGATTATGGGATGGACAATGGTGTTGTGTTGGTATTATAAAGGGGATTACAATCACTTGTATTGTAAAAGGAAGATTAGAGAAGGGGATGCAGAGAGTTGTTGGAGAGAATGTTTCGCGAGTAGCTGAGACTTCAGCGTCGTTTTGGGAATGGAGATTTTGAAAATGGCGGACAGAAATGGAAGACCAGTATTAGGATGTTTTCCATGGGAAAAAGCTCCTTGCAAGGAAACATTCAAGAGGATCCAGTTATTCATTTTATGGCAGTGGAATCTATACAGCTTATAAGAATCAGCGTTCCAATCACAACAATCAAAGATCGCAACGAAGGTATGACTGGGAGTATTAAAAAGTATATAAAAGCTTGCAGATAACAAGTGGGTGAACGAGAAAGTATATAGCAATTAGCAAATATGAAATGGGTGACTGTTGATCATTACTCATATAAACGATCATCATGAAAACAAATGTTGACAAAGAAAATAAGTGCATTCACTTCTAGAATCCACTCATAACTTACTACTACCCCCATTCCCATCTGCAGAGATATCAATAACCAATTTTCCAAACTGTGACCCGTCCCTCATGTGTTCAAAGAGCTCATCAATTTCCTTGATATTATCAATTCCCTTGACCGTTCTCGAAATGACCGGAGCAATCTTCTTTTCCTGGACAAAAGATACCATGTCCCTGAATTCTTTTCTAGAACCCATAGTCGTGCCTCGGAGTTCTAGATTGTTCAGGACTGCTAGCATGGACCAATCCATTTTAGGGCCAACCGTCATGCCGTATTGAACAATGGTACCACCAGACTAAAGCAGACTTAGTAAAGCAAAGAGGGAGAAGTGAAATTTTACCTTGAGTAATTTAGCAGCCTTGGATACAACGTTTCCCCCAGCGCCATCAATAATAGTATCAATAAACGGCCGATCCTTCGGCAACAATTCCTTCAACTCCTTCTCCCACTTCTCCCCCTTATAACTCACACCTCCAACAGCACCCAAGTTAATCGCCTTCTCAATCTTCTCCCTCCCCCCACTCGTCACAAAAACTCTCATCCCCATCGCAACAGCAAACTGCAAAACCGCCGACGCAACACCCCCTCCAATGCCCGTAATCAAGATATTCCTCCCCTCCAACGCATTCCCACTCTTCGACACCAGAGCTCGCCACCCCGTCAACCCCACCAGCGGGAGAGCCGCAGCCTCCACAGCCGATAAATGACCCGGCACCTCTTCCACCTCCTTCTCATCCACACACAGAACCTCCTGCAGAGTGCCTAGAGGAAAAGTACTTGTTCCGCCTAGGATCGCGAAATTCCCCGTCTCCGGACCTTCATGCGCTTCTTCCCATCCGCGCGATGGCATGAGCAGGACGCGTTTTCCGAGCCATGATTTGGAGGCGGCGGATCCGAGACCGGTGACGATGCCGGTGCCGTCGGCGAGGAGGGGTGCGGTGAAGGAGGGGGAGGGGTAGAGGTGTTGGCGCAGGAAGAAGTCTCGGTGGTTCAGAGCAGCGGCCTGGACAGTGATGACGAGTTCATTGGGTGCTGGTTTGGGGGATGGGAGATCGTGGATTTTTAATCTGATGGTTGTTAGTTTGTTACAGAGGGAGGTTGGTGGGGGAGGGGTAAAGGAGCGGGACTTACGGGTAATAGACTTGGCCTGGTTTGCCGTCTATCTTTTCGATTGTTATGGCTTTGGGCATGATTGTGGTTGAGGAGTTTTTTGCTCAATCTATTGCAGAAGAGGTATTACACTTGAATTGTGTTGGAGGAATGAATTAAGCATCTCTTATCAAAGGTACTAGTAGCTTGACGTAACTGCTCGCCCAGTGTCTTTCTCCTCAATTCAGCCGAGGTTATTTACAGGATGACTCCGATCGGAGGTGAGAACGGTCCCCTTTTTAATCTTTCGATAGGTATAGGTAGTTAATAACTGGTTAGACTCCCAGTGTGTAGGTTATGTGTATCGGTACATAATACTTGAGAGGCATTGACCTACCTCATTTCGATACTTGTCTGGTCCAGCTCATAGACCCTAAATGAACAATGTAAAAGTACCAAGTAGATCCTACCTAAGCGATATTCTCCTGCGATAAACATCTAGAAACATAAATAACCTTCATTTCCTATGTGGTTTCTTACTAGTAGAGGTTTATAGACCATTCTAAGTTAACTTCCAGAGCCTTCATTAGTATTACCTACGTGTTCTACAATTATTGACTTGGTATTTGAATATGTTTTAAACATCTTTTACAGCCAATCCTGCGGAGTTTCCAGAATAGGTTTAACTAGACCAATATTTAGAAACGAAGGGTTGATTTAATTATAATGCAGTCTTTGAATTGGAGTCATAACCAAACAGCGAGCTTCAGAGGTCCGAGGGCCTTGATAAAACAACCCCGCTCTTCATCTCAAAATACACCTTTTCTAGAAATTCTGTGCTTAGGTAGGGTTAAGTTATAGATATTCAATGAACTTTGTCAATGTTCAGAATTTAATTCCACGAATACACGGTATTACTGTAAAGAGTGACAGCCTTAGAAATTTCAGTCGTTTGTAGCAATACGTCAATGCTGTGATGTCATACATCTGATTCCGTAGAAACGTCAGTGGCAGTTTTCGGAGATAAATATTCACGGACTCCATGAGACTCATACAACGGAGAACAGGATACGAGTACAAATGTTTATATAGGTCTTCTTGTACCTTGATTAATGCTATAAAACTTTTCTGTCTTCTTATATGATTCTCTTTTCGCTTTTCTCGACAGCCTTCTCGCGCCCAAGTACGAGTAAACAACACTCCCCTTAGTCTTACATTAGGTCAACATAATTAATCTCAGTCGACCGCGTCTCAGCCTTTTCTCCATGACGTTCAGATTTTCGGAGGTAGTCGAGTTATTCGCAAAAAGGAGAAGCCCCATTATTTCTTTGTCTCCGCAAGCTATCCTATCTCACATGTCTCGTAAATCCCGATGTCTAGAATTAAGCCATGACCATCGAGCCATGACCTCACCATGAAATCCCGATTTCAGCTCAGACATATAAGATATCCTCATTCCAAAGCATGAACACGTCAATTAACATTTTCCATCATTTTCCATCATTTTCGCGATTAAAGATATTAATTATCTTCAAAAGTATCCTCAAAATGTCCGCTGTTCCAGACCAATACGAAGGCTTCACTGTCTCCTCTACGAAGGAATGGAGTAACTTCTCTAGAACAAAAGTGATCAATTCTTTTCCGTTTCAAGAGTTTCTTTCTGATTCATAATTATAGATTACACCTAAGAACTTTGAGGATCACGATGTTGATATTGAGAATGAGTGCTGCGGTGTATGCGGCTCAGATGTTCATACCATTACCGGTGGATGGGGCGAGTTAGGCACAACTCCTCTCTGTGTTGGCCACGAGATCATTGGGAAGGTCATTCGTGTAGGAAAGGCAGTCAAAGAGTTCCAAGTTGGAGACCGTGTTGGTGTTGGAGCCCAGGTTCAATCATGTATGCAATGTAAGAATTGCAAGTCGAACAATGAGAATTATTGTCCCAAGATGGTTGGTAAGTTGATTCCCAACCCAAAATGTCGAGGGAAGAGAAAGGGAAGGAAGCTAATGAATATAGATACCTACAATGCTCCATACAACGAGGACGAAGGCCGCTCGGACAAACTCATGAAAGATTCAAAGGGAAACCAAATCTTCTCCCAAGGAGGCTACTCATCACACACCCGCGCACACCAACAATTCGTCTTCGCCATCCCAAAGAACATTCCCTCCCACGAGGCCGCTCCAATGATGTGCGCCGGTCTCACCACCTACTCCCCCCTCCGACGCGCCAACGTCGGACCTGGCAAAACCGTCGGAATCCTCGGAATCGGAGGACTGGGCCATTTCGGTATCCTATGGGCCAAAGCCATGGGCGCAGAAGTCTACGCGCTCTCTCACACCCCCTCGAAAAAATCCGAAGCCAAAGAACTGGGTGCAGATAAATTCATCTGCACCGAGAATGAGAACTGGGCTGATGACCTAGCTTTCACGTTCGATTTCATCCTCAATGCGGCGGATATGACGCATAAGTTTGATTTGACAAAGTACCTTGGGACGTTGAAGGTTCAGGGGGAGTTTCATAATGTTGGGTTGCCGGATGAGCCCCTACCTGGGATTATGGCGCAGACTTTTGCGCCGAATGGGTGTAAACTTACCGGAAGTCATATTGGGAGTAAGAAGGAGATGTTGGAGATGTTGGATTTGGCGAGTAGGAAGAATATCCATCCTATGATTGAGACTATCAAGATTAGTGAGAAGGGTTGTAAGGAGGCGGTGGAGAGGGTGAAGGTTAATGATGTTAGGTATAGACTTACTTTGGTTGGGCATAGGGAAGTGTTTGGTACTGGAAAGTAGATAGCCTTGCTGCTTTGCAAGATTTAATGTAGAATTAGATATTTCGGAAATGAAATGTTTACATGGATAACGGAAGCAATTGTGCACTGCGTTATTATAGTTGATTGAATTAAAGTAACACATCTTCAATTCACTAAGTGATTCTCCAAGTGTCAATAGATCCGACTTATCGACAGAGAGAAGAAGCTAAACTACATAACAGTCATAAATCAATAAACCCATCAACATCAAAAATCCAAACCCCCAAAGATCCCCTCGACTTTCTACCCATCTATTGGGTATAGATATAAGCTGCCTTGACATTGGACTGAGTGTAGATATACGCAGCCAAGCTAGCAGGGAGTTCTTTGCCTTGGTCCTTGGTGATGGCAATCTCTCCATCCTTCTGTGGAGATTGGGTGTAGATGTAGGCGGCCAAATATGGAGGGAGTGCGTTGCCCTGGTCTTTGGTGAGGGTAACCGCTTCTCCGTCCCTTGCGGGCGATTGTGTGTAGATATAGGCGGCCAAACATGGGGGAAGTACCTTTCCTTGGTCCTTGGTCAGAGTAACTGCCTCGCCGTCCTTTGCGGGAGATTGGGTGTAGATGTAGGCGGCCAAACATGGAGGGAGTGCTTTCCCTTCGTCCTTGGTGAGGGTAACCGCCTCCCCATCCTTTGCGGGGGATTGGGTGTAGATGTAGGCAGCTAGGCATGGGGGAAGTGCTTTGCCTTGGTCCTTGGTGAGTGTTACAGCTTCAGCATCCTTGGCAGGGGATTGGGTGTAGATGTATGCCGCCAAGCAAGGTGGGAGTTCCTTGCCACGGTTTTTGGTAATGGTGATGGATTCTCCGTCCTTCAAAGGAGACTGGGTGTAGATATACGCAGCTAGACATGGAGGAAGTGCCTTGCCGAGACCTTTGGTGATGGTAATTTTGTCTCCATCCTTAGCTGGTGACTGGGTGTAGATGTAGGAAGCCATAAAGGCTGGAAGCTCTTTGCCGTGGTCCTTGGTGAGAGTAATGGCTTTCTCGGTCAATCTTCCAGCCTCCACCTCCTTGACCATGTTCTTATATGGAACCCACATGTCCTTACGAGGATAAGAAACAGCTGGAACTGGCTTCTCCAGGAATGCACAAAGTGATTCCCATCCTTGGGTTGCGTCGAAAATCAAAACCTCACGACCCTGCTCAGCAGCAGCCTTTTGTACTCCCTCGTTGTGCTTGCGGAAAGCCTCTCGTCCATGGGTTGGGAAGTCGTTTGCCCATAAGTGCTCGTTGTAGGTTTTAGCAAGTTTCGAGGGCTCACTCTGAGCTTTAACGTAGGCAATGTGAAGAGTCTTGGACATGGATTCAAACCAAGCATCCTCAGAGCGAGTGGTGAGGATAATTTGGGCATCAGGATATGCGGTCATGAGTTCGCGATAGAAGATAGAGCATGGGAAATCGCTCACGGCCTGTTGTTTTTGGACACGGGGGTCAGCGGCTGAGTAATAGTGGCAATTAGGTTGTACAGTAACCTTACATCAAAGTCTCCCACAAGTTCGTCGAATTCCTTCTTACTTGGTTGAGATCCCTTTCCTTCAAACTTAGCCTCAAGAGCAGCGACCCACTTGTCATGATGCTTATTTGGTCCAACCGATGTCATATGGTAGTTGTTTTTATGTCCAAGTATACGAAGAGCCTCACAGATCGCTATAACGGTCAGTCGGATTTTATTCAGCTACGAAGATCATAAGTTCATGGTAAACGCACACTGTGTGCCAGTACGTGGCATTCCTAGAACAAGGACTTGAGGAGCCATGATGAAATGTAGTTTCGAATGGATTATGAGGTTTTAGTGTAGTTGAGATGTGATGATATGCACGAGTAAGTTGATTTCAAGCCGCAGGATGAAGGCATATGGGAGTGGTGAGAGAGGGGTATATATAACTTACTTCACAGACATGCATACGCTGGTGGGGCGAAACTAAGGGAGGAACAAGGGGTTATTCTCTCCGAGCAGTGAAGGATATCCGGAGACAAGGCCTTGATAGAGTTTCGAAAGAAAAATCATTCTCCTGGGCTAATCCTGTTTTAGGATCTGTTTGCTTAAAAAATGGAGTGTTGCGAAGTAAAGTTGTCCCACAAGCAACCTTAAGTACCCTGTCAAGCGGCAGAGCGATAACAGTCTGGCTGTCCCCTCTGTCCCCCTTGCGTGTCCAAGAGGGGAATTAAGAATTCTTTATTTTAGGTTTTTAGAAGCGTAGAACCCTAACATTTGCTATCGCGGGTACATATGCTAGCTTAATTGACAGGGCGTCGTCGCTGTAGTCCGTAATATTTGATGATAATAATTATTCCGATAATCTATTAACGGTTCTTTGGTTGTAGGAGCCTACCTATTGGGAAAGAAGTCTAGAGACAATAGAAGTAAGTACAATACGACATAAGTAGTAACGGTCTTGACACGACTTGCTAGTCCTGAGTTGCAATTCGTCCACACCCCTGGTGGGGTAATATCGTTGGGTTTAAGAAGCATGGTCAATTTACTAAATATACTTCGTATCAAGTACGTGGACGAAAGTGTAAAGTTCTGGGGTATAACTAAATGGACTATAGTCAGTAGTTGGGACGAGTTGAAAACTCCATTTTCCGACTAAACAGGCCCATATCCTCATCCTGAAAGAAGATTAAAGCGGCAGCGATTTATTGCGAGGTATTCATGTACACTATAATATCCTTTGTAACTCAAAGCGTACTTAGATATGGATATGGCTACAAAAAGTGTCGGACACCTACCCGAAGATGTTTTGCTTTAGCCAGTGTATATCGGTTAGACATATTATCCTGGAGTCTAGACCATTTTGAAGTAAAGTAGAGGTGGAGTTCCAAACCTCTTATATGAAGCGACTCAGTCTTCACTCAGACTTCGATCGGTTTTATAGATATCCTTCAAATGGACAGGTCACGGAGACTTAACAGTGAACTAAGAAAAAGCTCGGCGAGTAGGCAATTCTCAACAAAGGTCCTTGAATTGGGCGGTATGTACGGAACACCAAATGTACGAGGTAAATTCATTGCCAACATCGTTACGTTGACTTGCGTACGCATTAAGCAGCAGGACGTACCAATCACATCTAGGCAAGGTGTTGTAGAGTTAGGGTGCGGTTAATCCGGCGTTGTGATAACGAGAAAACCTTGTTTACCTCGTATTCGCACGAGTCTGCTTGAATTTCGGAGACTGAGTAAATTGTACAAGTAAATAGCAGATAGGGCACCAACGTCTACCAAGACTAGGATATATGTTTTTTGATCCCCTGAAGCCCAATGGACTCGCTTAGGGCAAGTTCGGTTAAGATGGGAACCAAAGAAAAGAATCGATCAGAATAGTACAGCATCTACCTAATCTTCAAAGACTGGATAAAGACGGAATTTTTGGATTGTCAGGTCCGAAACTCCTCACCAAGGAAACGTTGCCATATCAACGCGGAACGTTCAGACAGAAAGTATAACCTGCCTTGGCATACCTTGGTACCTGGGCTATTCTACGGACCAGCTCCCCCATGACATGATTGTGGGGCAGCGTTATGTCTGATCGTCTCCCGTGGGGACTTCATGGCCAGAATAAATAAAGCGATCATGTTTTATGCCCCTCTGTGACTTGCGGTAGCAACCTTATCAAAACGATTTCTTTTGCGTTTGGCTAGGAAACGCACCGTGTACTGTCCTCCGGTACTAATTACTAAGACCCTGCGGGTTCGTTGTTCTACTAAGAATCGAACTCCTGTGGGTGTTGGGATACGATCGAAGGGCAAATGGAATTTCAGGTTTGCGCAGATGCAGACAGAAGATTTGGTCCAATAGTGCCTTCAGAATGCCGCGGTGGCTTCGACTTCACAATTCTATTTAAGGAAATCTTTTTCTCCTTCCTACCGGCTATAGCACTGGTTTTTGCAGCTTTGATCCGCTTGCGGGATCTTCGTCATCGCAAAGCAATTGCTTTTGATGTTCATTTGCAGCTTGGCAAACAAGTTAGTGCCCCCCTTTCGGTTCAGGAACTTGTGTTAACACCACAAAGTGTGTTGCCATCTCTTACGCAATCACTCGGTTAGCGATCCTCGTTCTTTGGGCAATACCATCATCGTATAGAACAAGACTTTCAATTACGACAGCAGCATTTGACCTAATCTCATGTGTGTATATTTGCATCTTGTCATACGTGGAGGGCAGAAATACCATCAGACCATCAGCTCTCTTGAACTTTTACTTGCTCGTGACGACTCTTTTTGACGTCGTCCCATTGCGAACATTGTGGCTGTTAAAAGGACAGGAATCAGCCTATATAGGACTTCACAACATTGCTATTGCATCTTCTGTCAGTATTGGCTTGAAGGTGGTTCTTCTCATATTAGAAGCTACCACCAAACGTATCGTTGGATCATCACTGTCTCCTGAGGAAAAGTCGGGGATTTACAGTCTGAGAACCTTTTGGTGGCTCAATCCGATTCTTTGGCTTGGACGGCGTAAAAGTTTGAATACCAAGGACTTATTTCCCATTGACACTGGATTAAAGACTGAAACGTACAGCTCGCATCTCGCAGAGACTTGGAACAAAAGTTAGTGATGCAGATTTCTTATCATTTGCGTGAGAAGATAGCTAACAGGACATAGCTGACACAAGCTCAAAATATGCGCTCCTAAGAGCGGTGTTTTCCACTCTGAAATGGCCGCTTATAGCTCCCGCCTTTCCTCGTCTAATCCTCATAGGGTACGTTTATTTAGTCCTATTAATATACTGATCTGTATGGACTCTTGTCGTGCTTTTGGTCCAACCATTTATGAATCGCAATTAATGGCTTCCCTCATTTCAGTTTCACCTACGCGCAGCCACTACTCATCAAACGTGCGATTAATTTTGTGGAAAAGGGCGGCAGTGAAAATATTGGATACGGCCTTATTGGAGCTACCGTGATAATTTACACTGGTCTCGGAGTAGGTGTTTTCTTTATCTTCAGCAACAGTTACTAACTATATAAAGATTCTCAACGGTTACTATGGCCATTTGTTATATCGAAGCATTACCATAGTTCGCGGGTCTCTGATTGACATTGTTTACAACAAGTCCTTGAGGATAGACATTGTGACGGCACAAGAGGCTACTCCCGCAGGTAAAACCACCCAATTTTCCATGATTCAGGCTTGGTAGAAACGTATTGGGGCTTCCGATAATGGCTATTAGTAGCTTTTTGGATGTGGTCCCGACCTCTTCCAACGTGATCGCACTCCACTAACAACTTCCATTCTCCCTCTATTACCAAATTCCCTTCTTATGCTTGTGGCTTCATTATTCTTGAATTATAAAATAGCTGGCTCGATTCTCTTGGATTTCACTTGATTTGATGCGCAAAATGGAAGCTGACTCTGACAGGTCTTATAACCGCTGACGTGGAACGAATCGATTTTACAATCGAGAAAATACACTCTCTTTGGGCAAGTGTATTCGAGCTTGTCGTCGCCGTGTTTCTCCTAGAAAGAGAAGTTGGTTGGGCATGTATCGCACCTGTATTAGTGGCATTCGGTCAGTATACGACATTGGTAGAAGATCAACTACTAACACCTTTGTGAAGTCTGCACCTATTTAACTTCCGTGATTTCTAAAGTATTACCAACTCGACAAAAGACATGGAATCAGTCGATTCAAAAGCGAGTGGCTCTCACATCAACGATGCTAAGCAACATGAAAACAGTAAAAATGATGGGTCTATCCAAGTATATAGCCACTACTTTGCAAGCCGCTCGTATGACAGAGTTGGCTGCATCACAAGCTTTTCGGCAGTGTATGGCAATTGTAAATGTACTAGGTGACACACCAGCTCTGAAATGTGGAAATAATTACAGCTAACAAAACCACAGTCCTTGTTCCAAAGCAACTTTCTGCTCCCTTCACATTTCTTCTATTCGTCTTTGCCGTTCATAAAGGTTCTAGTAATGGTGCAATGTCTGCTTCTCGCGCATTCACGACTTTAACAATCATCGAGCTTATCACCACTCCTATCGGCCTAGTTCTGCAGACCATCCCAAGTGTTACCACATCTTTGGCATGCCTAGATCGTATCCAGGCATATCTAAAGTCTCCAGATAAGATTGATAGGCGTGGTGCCATGAGATCCTCCCAAGATACCAAGTCGTCCAACTCGGAAAAATACAACTCTGCTGAAAAAGATTTACCTGTCATTTATTTCCGAAACGCTAGTTTTGCCTACAAAGCCACTGAAGATCGGGTCCTAGATTTAATCTCGTTAATAATACCCCGAGGATCCTTAACAATGGTAGTCGGTCCTGTCGGTAGTGGGAAGAGCACTCTCCTTAAATCTATTTTAGGCGAGCTGGAATTACAGACTGGAGAAATTGATGTGCGTGTCGGAAAGATTGCATACTGCGATCAGAGTCCATGGATTCCGAATGGATCTATTCAGGATTGTATTATTGGCACTTCAGAGTTTGACGAGGTTTGGTTCAAAGAGGTATTGCATGTCTGCGCCCTTGATGAGGATGTTCATTCTCTCTCGGAAGGAAGACACACTGCGCTAGGAAGTCGAGGAATCGCCTTTAGCGAAGGGCAGAGACAAAGATTGGTAGGAACTTCCTATTACTCCTTTTCCCTCTTATCTTGCTAATCATAACCAAAGGCACTTGCGAGAGGAGTCTATTCTCGCGCTCCCTTACTAATCCTGGACGACATATTCAGATCCCTTGACTCAAAAACCGCTGGGCTTATCTTTCAAAGACTTTTTTCGCCTGACGGACTAGTCAAACGAACCAATCTGACTGCTGTTTGTGCAACGCACTCTGGTCTGCCCCCAATCATAATATTTCAATCCAATTTATGTGTATTTTGCTAACGTTTAGGTAGCACGGCATCTTCCTACCTTAGATCAGATAGTTGTCTTGAAAAATGGCGGAATTTCTGAAATTGGCAGTTTTCAATATCTAAAAGAGCGTGAAGGGTATATCCAAAGTTTGACAACAAGAAGGCAGTCTATCGATTATGGCAATTATGCTCCTCAAGATAACAAAACAGTTGAAATCAAAGCACAGCGGGCTCAGACAACAAGGAAGCCACAAATCCCCGTACAACGCGTCATTGGAACCAGGGATCAATCTGTATACATATTCTATCTAAAACCCATTGGCGTAATGAGAGCTGTGATCCTACTTATCGCGGTCATCTCATTGGCATTTGCAACTCGGTTTCAGCGTTAGTCATCATCCTGTCCAGATCTTTGTTGGCCGCAAGTTACTAACATTTCCAAGGCATTTGGGTCCAGTGGTGGACTGAAGCAGACAGTCACCATTCGATGTATATTGGGATATATTTCTTGCTTGCCGTTGGTGCTTGCTTGAGCTTTGCTTTCTTCTTCTGGTATGGCTTTTTTCCTGGTTGATTTCGTTTAGCTGACATGGAAAAGGTGGATGTGGATGTTTGTTGTTCCAATGACGGCTGGGGGCCTACACGAGCAATTGCTTGATTCGGTCATTCAGTGAGTGATGTCTTGCATAAAATTTCGTGTTTTCCAATTAACATTGAGCAGCGCTCCTCTATCATATTTCACCAAAGTAGACGCCGGTACAATCTTGAACCGGTTTAGCCAAGATATGGCTATCCTCAACGGCCAGCTTCCAGTCAACATCTTCCAAGCCCTTTCTAGTCAGTGATCTCATATGAAGATGCTAGGACCAAGCTAATAGAACGAACAGTTTTGATGATCTGTTTGATACAGATTGCCTTTATTGCTTATGGTTCAAGTTATCTAGCATCAGCTATTCCAGTTACACTGCTTGTTGTGTTCCTTCTTTCCCGTTACTATCTACTTACTTCACAGCAACTTCGCCTGCTAGATATTGAACTTAAAGCACCCATTTATACGAGTTTGACTGAAACCAAGGAAGGCCTCGCAACAATACGAGCATTCGGTTGGCAATCATCTTACAAAAAGAAATGCCAAGCCCGGATTGATGAGTCAAAGAGGGCAATATACTTGTTATTCATGATTCAACGATGGCTAAATTTCGTTCTCGATCTAATCGTTGCTGGTTTGGCGACTTTGCTAATGACATTGGCAACACAACTACGTCATTCAACGAATCCTGCTGCACTAGGAGTGGGCCTTTCCAGTCTAATAGCGTTCAGCTTGAATGTGTCCCAATTTATATATTGCTATACAGAGCTGGAAAACTCGCTTGGGGCTATAAGCAGGATCAAAGACTGCGTCGAAAATATTGAAGTGGAAGACTCTGCCATAGACGCCAAAGAGCCACCCAAAGACTGGCCGCCGAATGGTGCGATCGAGTTTTCACATGTCACAGCCAGCTATAAGTTTGTATACCTCTTCTTTTTATTTTTCTTAATACTGATAGTAATACCAGTGATGACGAGGAGATAGCGCTCAACGATATCTCTTTCAGTGCTCTCCCTGGTCAGAAAGTCTGTATTTGTGGTCGTACAGGCTCAGGAAAGTCTACGCTGATGTCAGTAATTCTTCGACTCCTAAGCGCCCAAATCGGCGGAGTCTCAATCGATGGTATTGACATTGCCACTCTACGTTCCGAAGCGGTTCGGCAGAATATCAATGTCATTCCACAATCACCCTTTTTCCTCCCAGGATCTGTGAAACTCAATCTCTCAGCGGACCATCACACAGACAAAGATATGACAACGGCTTTGGAGAGAGTAGGCCTTTGGGAGCTCATAGAATCTCGTGGCGGTTTATCAGCTGAAATATCCGCGGTGGCATTGTCGCATGGGCAACAACAACTGTTTTGCTTGGCTGCAGCGATGCTGAAGAAATCGAAAATCGTATTGATCGATGAAGCTACTAGCGGGGTCGATTCTAAGACGGAGAATAAGATGTATGATCTGATACACGAGGAGTTCCGGGACTGTACTGTTATTAGTATCGCACATCGATTGGAAAGGGTGCTTGAGTATGACCAGGTTGTAGTATTATCTCACGGTCGATGTATAGAAAACGGGGCGCCTGGCGATTTGTTGGAGAAACAGGGGGAGTTTTGGAAGTTAGTAAATCCATAGTTTGTATATAATGAGCTGGTAACTGCTGTTTTTGATTCTCAAAAATTTCCGAAATAAGTATTGTTAGATGTTTAATGGCAGGATTTATAGTGAATGAGGATGGGGGCTTAGTAAGCTACTCGTATGGTGGGATATATATCCCACCCTACTACTGCTACATGCCTCAACACCACCACCACAATATCCACCATATCGTCAGCTATACTTTTGTAAGCTCTTTTGTGCTCTTGTGTTCTTTATTTCGTCTTCGATACGATTCCTCCAATGTAACAAGTACGATATATAGGTGTAGGGATAGTAGTGGAACTAGAACAAACGCTCGATTCACTCCTTTTGACCTCGATCCTCAACTACCGACGTACTCGAACTGGTACAGCAGATGTGGGTCGGAATACCATGTGTATTTGCTAGGCAAGGGGAAGGATAGACTGGATTCGCTAGGCAAGGAGGGCTCTCTAGGTGTGGTTTTGGCCTACAAGGATGAAAGTATACAAGGTTTTCCTATACTTGTTACACAAATGTACGAGGGGTAGATGTTTACGAGGCAGGAGAGTTTAGATATTAGGTGTTAGATTATTTAGCGGTAGATATACCTACTCGCTAGGAGAGTTTTATAAGGATATTGAGACAGCAAGGTGAAATTGATGCTGAAGATATAAAATAATATATTAAGGTGATGGTTTTATTTGCCAGAACTCTAAAGGAGAAATGGCTTATAGTGGCTGGTATGACATAAGCTGGTCACATGACCACTTGCTTCATCAGATAGTCCTTCCTTGCCTTCCTTTTTTCTTCTCGTCTTATTATTCTTAGTTTTCTCCCCCCCATTTTCCCCTTGTTTTGTTTTATAGCTGCTTCCTTTCGCGCTACTTAATAAGGCCGAGGGTGCTTGTTCTTCGCTTTCCACTTATATATAGGCGAATTTTAAACACTTGAAGCTAGCTAGTAATACAAAAGAAAACTAACAATAAGCCTCATTTAATTGATGTAACGTGTAAGAAAGCGGGCATTACTCTGTACACCCCTGAGGTATAAAAACATTATCCTAAAGACTTCATATAACTGAATCAATTATACGAAGTGTTTAGAACAATTGTTACTTTTGAAGTCTCATTGTACTAGGTGAAATAGGACATTTAAGTTACTTATGCCAGAGTTTTAGCACAACGACTTTAGATAGCGTGTACAGAGTAATACACGCCTCTCTTACCGACTAACGATTGAACATAAATAATATCTTAACTCAACTCACGTACTTTCGAATTAGAGTGAGAGGATCAGTTAGTCTAAGGATACTTTAGTGGCAGTAATAACGGCATAGGTATCGAAGTAAAATTCTCTAAAAGCACTCTAGGTTCTTAAAGCTGTAAGAAAAATACAATCTTCAAACAGTTCCCTCTTCTATTTTCGCCAGAGAAAACCCTAGGATCTTATATTACTTGAGTGCACGACAATAAATAACAGATTTCTATACAGCGTATAGACAAACTAATCAACTACTTAAGTACTACTTGAGTACTACTTAAGTAGAGTTGAGTTGAGTAGTCATGTTTCATTACTTAATTAGTAGTGAGTACTAGGCATAACTACTTAAGTAGTACTCAAGTAGTACTTAAGCAGGTAATTATAGTAAAAACATAACTAAAGTAAATAAATAATTTTAAAGGACGGTTCCCTTTTACCCTATTCATCCTCCTTATTAAGGAAAGTCTCTTTTAATATTTTGTTCCTATTATTAGCTCCCTTTCTAAATAATCGTTCCCTGGGAGCGCTTGACTAAGCTAATTCCGCGACCGGTGGTATACCCGGAGCGCGCTACGGCGACTCGGCCCGGCAACCCCCCGAAATACTTAAGTACTACTTAAGTTAAGTTGAGTAGGGCTTTCAACCCCTTGAGTAGAGTAGAATAGGTGCCACTACTCTACTCTACTCTACTAATTTTATACGCTCTATAGATAAGTTTAACATTTCCAAGTCCAAATATGAGAACGGTGTGAACCCGCCTGGTATTTTATTCTAAAATATACCTTGAGGATAATGGTACTTCCGACTTACATATTGTGGCGGCTTTTTGTTCTTCGGTTTATATCCATTAATACTATGCTATATAATTCATGCACTTAAAGTTAATTACCAATTTTGAAATCTGGTAGTCAGGCAATATTCTACGCATACATAATTCAATAAGCTTCCGAGAAGAGTATAGCAAATGCTTCTACTAATAGCTAATATATACACAGACGCAAAGAAACACTGAGTACGACATCTCAAGCACCGTTGGTAGGCGGATCATAATCAGCTCCGCAGTTGTACGGAGAAGGATGAGTCCTATAATACGGGTCATTCTCGAATAGAGTAAAACCCGGATCTTGTGGTGCAATATTTCTCGGCCAGCAGGGATTCTGGTTCAGTCCATCATTTGGTGCAGAAGGAGGCCAGCTGGAAACGCTGAATTCGGGACGTAGACTGACGTCGGCAAGAGCACTTCGTTCGATGTAGCGTTTATCTCCGCGCACTACGTTGGTGACTCGGAGATTCGTGCCAGCGGCATCGACTTTGTTTTTGAGGTCTCGGTTTGACATGGCGCTTTCGCTTACGAGTTCTTGGAAGCAGACTTCTTTCCATAAACCCTTGGCCGCATTACCGTTCTAGATTGTCAGCCTAACTCTCCTGATATATAAATCAAGTTTATAAAGGTATACAGACCTGTGTTCCTGGTAAAATGCGAACCAATTGACCTCCTGGGTTAGTCGTGCCGGCATTGATGTAAGCTGGACTTTGACTATTAAGGAAGTACAAGGGCGGGCTACGGCAAAATAGCGAGTTAGCATTGTCTTTATTAATGATAAGTAGAGGGTAGAAAACAAGGATAGATGTCGAATCTCCTGTGAGGAGTTCCACGGAAGTCTGAGAATTCACTTACTACTCGTCCGCCTGGCAAATCTCTGGAGATGGCAGCTGTGACCGGTTACCACTAGCCGTCTAACACACCGCAGTATCAGTAAGTGAAATAATTCAGAAGCATTCGGAAAGTAGCAGAAATTGACTTACATCCCACCAGCCTTTGCCTTTGTGTTGTGCTTCCCATACCCTTGGAACTCTTCTGCCCACTGCAAAGAAACATGGAGTTAGCATTTTTATTTTCGGTCTCGACTCATTCCCGAAGATCATCTCCAAGATCAATAGTTGTCCGAATAGGTCAAGCTCAACTTGTATTCAAAACAACATCCTTGGGGTCGCAATATTGTGGGTTAACTTACTGTCTGGCTTCTTGGTGGCCGCAGCTTCTGGCACGCAAGTCAATGTCGCCCATCCAGGGTTCTGACGGACAGCTGAACTGTAATGCCTATTGATAAAAAGATTAGCCTTCTATCGTGGAGCAACTGTATATTCTCTGAGTAAAAGAGGGTTCGTTGCAATATTGCTTGATTCCAACGAATTCTCTCGTCTTGGCTGTATGAGGAGTTTTAGAGCTTACCAGCATGCGTTATCCCAGTCCACCTACGAACTCAATGTCAGTATAATGCTAAAAGTTTCATATTAGGATTCGACTTACGGAACATGGCTTAGATACTCTAGTTGGTGCAGCGTTTGCAGCATAATTGAGTGACGTGACAATCCATTCGGTCTGTACTGTCTTGTCTGCTACACACGCTCGTTCCCGAAGGGTGTGTCTAAGTCGTTGAGTTTGCCGAGATGCTGGGATCTTACACTTGGGTTTATTGTTTCCATTACCTTTACTTGGTGCCCTTGGTGTGCCTTGATCGTGTGGGTTAGCGCCATCCCCTTTCCTTCCACTGCCCTTTGGCAGATTCCTTGGTGTTTTGAAACTCGAAACTCCACCCGTGACGGAACTCAGAATACCAGAGAGCTTTTTAATCTCATCAGGCACAAGTGTCGTCCCTCCACAAGGACTCAACCACCAGGAGAAGGCTCCTTCAGGATCCTCTTCTTCTGGGTAGAGGTATGATGCCATTTGAGCAGCCGTAGTGGCCATATCTAAATCCGAAAATCCGAATATTAGGATCCGCACAAGTAATTCCGAATGAAAAACAGTGGTATTATTATAGAACATACCTAGTCCAGCATCAAGGGCTTTTCCTACTCCTGGAATTGCCGACAATCCAATGTCGAGTACCAGCTTTAGGGAAGACATCAAAATATAACACTCAATCTGAGTAATTGCAGGTAAGGCCTCAATTACCGTGTCGGCAATTTCGTTCAGGAGCCAGTTGTCGCACAAGCATTGTCCAGGCGCTACCCAATAACCAGTTCCAGGCTGTTGCAGTCAGCGTTCATTCTATGCCAGAATGGAATAATTCTGCGCAGCTAGAATTGTTGCGAGGCGAGATAAACGTATGGAGAAATGGCAAATGAGTGACTTACTGGTTTCTCCCATGGAATCGCTTTGTCAAGAGGATAGAATCCCATACAGCCGTAGTTTGATGTTCTTCCTGCCTCAGCTGCTGCATCAAGTTGCGGTTTGCATGTATTATAACATTGCATAACGCTATTATCTCGTAAGGCTCCATTCTGGTATATCAAGCACCTTCTGGAGTTCTGTTCTCTGGCGGATGCATAATCAAAGCCCGTATTGGGGTTGTCAGCGTCAGTTATCACTACATCATCCTTCGGCTTTTTGGTGCAAATATCGTCTGGGCAGTAGCCGTGCTTGCATGCAAAGAGACAAAGTCGGTTTACTATAAAGTGATTAGCAATGCTTTTAGTGGTTGCTACAGAGCCAAAGATCAAGGACCGGGAAACTGGAGAGGTTTTCTAAGAGATGGAAATATGTCTCAGACAGTAGAACTCGGAGAATCGCAACTATATGGCGGGGCTTATACATACAGTCAGCGTCGAATTCGTCCCACGCGCTGCAAAAGGTTAGCACTGCTTCTAGAGAAAAAGAATTAAAAGATGTTGAACCGTGGAATCCACTTGTTTCATTATTTATACATGTATTTCATTATTTGTACTGTTTCCGCATTGGGTTACCACTCCACTCTTTTACCCCTTTTTGTAGATATAAAAGGCTGTACAATAGCTTCTTTTACAATATAATCAATTCTACATGACCTACTTGACCCCATACCTTGGAAATCCAACAAAAGATGACTCAGTTATTAGGGTAGCTTGGTAATATGAAACCCCAATAATGCAGCATGACAAGATAAGTATGGATAAAGGAGAGGCGAGGTACGTACATTATATCGGTGGCGTCTTTCGTACTCGGTAGGGGGTTTACAACATCTGTGTATGTGCAAGTACACAATGACTCCGGGCAAAAGCCTAAGCTACATGAAAATTCGCACAGGTCGCCTGAGTTGACACTATCATCCTCTCCTGCCACGCAACCCATCTCTCCCTGGGGTGGTATTTTTGGGGGCGTTTCCATGTCATCAGTTGTGAAAGCTTCCAAGTCTAAAGCCCAGTCAATACTTCCGGCAAAGTTGAGACTTTCCAGTCAGATCGTCTAGTTTCTTTTGTCGTGGGTGTCATATATGAGACGTAGTCGCCCTGCCAATTCCTCAGTAACCATTTTTCATTTGCGGTAACAGGACCGTTTTTGGGGTTCAGTTTTCTTCATTCAGTTTCCATCCTGTAGGAAACGAAAAGCAAGAACGAGGCTACTGACCTGATAAAGCAAAATCTCTGAGTTGGATGCTCCGTCATGAAATGTTTGGGTGGCACCACCACGTTGAATGATTTCGTTTAATTCGGCGTTGGATAAATACCCACCAGTTTTAGTGCATCTTCCTGGATTGGCATCAGATTGTGTTCTGGACCCCGTAAAATCGCACATCTAAATTATTACATGGTCAGCAGCGAAAGTGACATAATTTCGGAGTGCGTATGGCATTTTACGAATGCTGAGAGCATGTTCACAAGTTCACTTACCGGTCCCCAGCAGCCATCCGAGGCCATGTGAAATGATCTTCCGTAGCTTGCTTCGCCAACAAATACTTTATTGTTAGGGACACCGGCTTTTGTTACTACATACAAGTCAGTACTCATTGTAGAAACTAGACGGAAACTGTGGTAAAGCCTGCAGTAGAAGGCAACGAAGTAAACTAGGATATTGAATATCGCGCCCAAGACACGCCGTGGCCGGTAATAAAAATTGCGACTATGGTTTCGGTGACTTACTTATTGCGAGGGAATTGCGCGTCTCAGTGAGGTTGACGTGACTTCGTATACACCTTCCAGAGTCGCATTGGTCGTAAGCGTTTGGGTTCCCAGCATCCCACTGACCATGAAGGTCATAAGTCATATATACGATATAATCAATGACAGCAGCAATGCGATCGATGGGAAAGGCTTTAAGATACCAATACGACGCTGGTGCGGCGATCGAAACGGAACGATCCGTCCCCAACTGTTGTTTAAGGACTGTAAGGAACTTGAGGTACCAAAGGTCTTGGAATTAGCGTCACGGTTGGTTAGTATCATAATCAGACTTCCAAAAGCAATTGTAAGTGCTTTGTTGTGACCATATGGCTTATACTTCGAGTCGCGCTATTACGAATTGTTCTGAGCCAACAACAGTCTTAAGTTATTCTTGGAATCCAGCTGTGGGTAATGGTAAGTCCGGACTATCCCGAATCCAAGTTGACATGAGTGCTAATATCTACACAGATTGTTCCAGTTTATTCCTTGGATACTACTATTGCGTTGCTGTTACTGAAACTCCGACTGGCCCGCCGGCGACTACTACAACGGCGGCTCCTTCTGGTCCTTCTCCCACTCAAGGTGGGATTATTGCAGATTGTAAGTTCTTCAACCCTCCAAATACATCAGTACGCTGACTATGGGTAAAGGTAAGAAATATCACCATGCAGTCTCAGGTGATACCTGCTAAAAGATTGTCGATACCTACAGGACATTTTCCTTGAGTCAATTGTAAGTTCAAAGCTCTCGATGGTCTTTTGACGCGACACTGACCGTCATGAAGCTACTCTTGGAACCCAGCCGTCAAAACAGGTAAGAATCTATGATGAATATCATTTTTCCCCGAGTTATATCATTCACATTACTAACACCTATGAAAAGACTGCTCTGGTTTATTCCTCGACTACTACTATTGCATAGCGATTACTGGAACACCAACTACAGCTCCAGCCACGACCACCACAACAACACCAGCAGGCCCCACTGTTTCCCCCACGCAAGCAGGCGTCTCAGCCAACTGCAAAAATTGGTACTTGGTTTCATCAGGAGACTATTGCCAGAAAATAGCGGACCAGTTCGAAATCTCTTTGGCAAACTTGTAAGATATAATTCTGTCTATATATTCGGTGGTGGTAGAACAAAAGCTAATGTGTAATCTTACGTCTTGGTAGCTATTCTTGGAATCCAGCTATAGGTGGATCTTGCGGTCAAATTTGGCTTGGATATTATGTTTGCGTTGGGTCTTCCTGAGAACAGGGAGGTTGTATATTGAAAAGGGTAGAGTTAGGTACCGTGTGATATTTATCGGACTATTGGATTATATATTATAATATGTTATTAACATTAATTACTTTAAATTTACTATCGATGGATTAAGGTTTAATACAACTCTTACCACCAAAAACACATAGTAATAATATCTTAATTCTACGTACTAACGCTTCGAAACCCGACCCTAGAAGTTCACCCTCCTTCCTCGTCAATTTCACTAATAAGCGCTTACAACCTCTCCATTCAAACAAAGAAAACACAACAAAAGTAATCCGTACATCCACCACAAACAATCCCGCTATTCTTCACCTCCAAACAAAGAACTTCAAACCCCAACAAACAAACCCTTTGTCCTAACACCCCATCTACCACTCCATAAAAAACATAAAAAACATAAAAAACACTAATGTGGTTTATCAGCGAGTCGATCATATCACCGAGTCGATCACTTTTTCTTGGCACAGAACTTTACACCTAAATAAATCAACCACAATATATTAAATTAATTATCGCTCTCTATATCTGACGAACTAGATATATCTATAACTTCTTGACAAGTTCGCGCGTTATGACCAGCTTTTCCACAAGTTCTACAGCGCCGCCTAGAAGGTTGCCCCTCCTTATAACCAACCCCCGCCTCACGCATGTCGCGTCGTACTTGCTCATCTACATCCTCCTGAGCTAACATATCCTGTACATCCTCTACTATAAGTGCCCCTCCTTGGCGGACACGAGTCTTTTTAGCCCTACGGCGTTTACTTAGGGCTTCATTTGCAGCGCGAAGGGTACGGACCTCAGCAGACAAAAGGGTCATCTCATGTGCCATTCGCTCTGTACCCTTTGCTAACGCAGCAACTGTTTGAAAAAGTGGAGTTGGCGAGCTTCCTTGATGACAGGCTATACGATTTCGTACAAGAGTTGATTGTGAAAGGGCTTCAGTTGGGTTGGAAGGGGTCTGGGACACCCAGGGGAGGGAGTTGGCACTACACGTCCGAGGGGGAGTTGGAGTCCGTAACCTTACGTCAAGCTTTGAAAGCACTGCTTGCGGGTTAAATGGTACTAGGCCAGCTCCGCGGAATCCAGACTGACAGTTTAGGACTGTCATTGTTTCCTTGTATGCTGCTGTAAAGGCTAGAAAGAACTCAACCTTTGTAATATGGTTGATATGGGCCTTGATAAACGTCTCAATCTGCCGACCATACGCTCGTTTTAACACACTATAGCACCCAACATCAAGTGGCTGGGTTAGATGGGATGAATGAGGAGGTAGTCCAAGAGTAATAATGTTGTGTTTCGTACAGTAGTCTTGGAACTCAGCCGATTCATGACTCTCGTGCCCATCCAAAACTAGTATTCGATACAGACCCTTTGCACGAGCTGTAGTGTGTTTATCAAAGTGCTTTAACCATTCCAGGCCTGTTTCATTATTTGTCCAACCATTGCTTGTCGGTTTCATAACCCAGTTAGGTGGGAGGCCGCCGTCGGTATACCAGTTGGAGAGATGGTTCTTGCCCTGAACTACCAAGAATGGAGGAATACTCCAGCCCTCCCCATTAATACAGGCAATTGCTGTAGCCCATTCCCGATTGCCTGGCTGAACTGCCTTGCCTCTACCACGTCGGTCTGCACGAGTAACAACCATTCTAGGACAAATAACACCCATCATAAAGCCTGTCTCGTCGAAGTTGTAGAAGTCGGAGTCTGTAACCCCATATTTCGCCCTCATATTCTCTACTAGCCGGAACCATGCGCCTAGCACGTCAGGATCTTCGCATAAGGCCCTCTGGAAGTCGTAAACGCGATTAAAACGCGTCTTAAGGTCTGGTTGTCGTTGTACGAATCGATGGGCCCAGAGCTTGCCGACGCGTCTTCCCCCCCGCGATTCAAGGATAAAATTAGCCATATCTTCTACACCAGCGAGCCGGGGCGCAAATCCTCTGGAATCCATATCCAGTATATACCGAATAATCACTTCCTCTTCTAACTCAGTCAACTTATGACAATTGGCTTGAGAATCTGGGCGGTAGGTTCGGCCAGCCATTCTGTCGGAAAGAGTCGTATATGGTACATTGTAGATCTTTGCCGCAGAGCGTTTGCTTAGTTTTTTGGACGACCGAATAGCCTCGATAGCTAGAGTAATTCGCGCTTCTTGAGTTTGAATTTCCATGGTAAATAGTTGAAGAAAACGTGTGTTGAAGTTTGAGGAGGTAGTGCCAAGGAAAAGTGATCGACTCGCTGATAAACCACGTTACTATAAATTAATATTAATAACTTCTAATAACTTATTAAAGGACTTTATTACTATAATAAAAAGACTCTTCTTTTATTTACCTTATTAATTCTATAAAAAAGAAGGTATACTAAAAATACCCTAAAATACTAAATTACGCCCTTTACCTCGAATAATAAAAACGAGAATATAGATATTAGAATAAAGTCTCAATATTTTCTTCTTATTATTTCCTTCTAGATAGCTTTAGATATTTCTATTATATAATCCTATTCGAGAAATAAAGATACTTCACTAATTAGCTAAATATCTAATAATAAGAAACTTAAAAATACTTCCCTTTACTCGATCTAAAATATAACTAGTTACCTAGATAGCTTTCTAAATACTTCCCTAACTAACTATTATTACTCGACGTGTAAATAAGCGAAAATTTAGAAGAGAAACAGGAGGATAAGGTAAATAGTAATGTAATTACAACTAAAGCTATCTGTTTTTCATCGTTTTCCTGGATATGTCGCGATTACTCCTTCCTTCCTCCCTTCCATTCGCTAATAAACATTTCCGCTAGCTTGAAAATTAAAACTCGAGTATTTTGCCCCTTTTGAACGCCTTCGCAAGTAAAACCAACGCTATGCATCCATACTAACGCCCCTGCGATAAACCCCATGCCATCAAACCCGGAAAACCAAGCACAAGCCATCCATCCATCAATCCATCCAGCCGTGCCAACAACAGCCAAAGCCACCATCCTCGCTTAAATATGACTAAGCATAATATAAATTCTCCTCATCAAGACCAGCCTCCACCTTCGTCACAACCTCATCATCACCTCCCTCTCCCTCTCCCTCTGCTTCGCCCTCCACTGCTCCCTCAGCCTCCTCCCCATCAACCTCCGTCTCCATCTCCCCCCACACCA